GACACAGTCTGCTTTTCAGAAGGTGGTGGCTGGTGTGGCCAATGCCCTGGCTCACAAATACCACTAAGCTACCTTTCCTGCTGTCTATCTCATACAAAAGGCCTTTTGCCCCAGAGAACAACTCCTAAATATTGGGCAACTTATGAGGGCCTTTGAGCATCTGGTTTCTGCTTAATAAAATCATTTTTCATTGCAATGGTGTACATTATTTTTGTGTCTTTTATTCACGAGGGAATGTGGGAAGACAAGGCATTTAAGACATAAAGAAATGAGCGCTAGTTCAGACCTTGTGCTAATACACCTCTCTCTTGTACTCCATGAAAGAAGGATGACTGTTAATAATTAATGTGGGAAAATTTTTTCTTTCTATTCCTTACTCACCACTCATAAAATAATTTCAGTGAATTTTTTGGTTTAAGGGTTAGGTTTTTTCTATTTTTTTTTTAATTACTTATTTTCCCCAGCCTTCCTCATGAGTTTCTCTTCTTTCTCCTGTTTCTTCCCCAGAACTTCACAGCCTTAGTCCACCCAGTTCTCCTCTTAGAGATTCCACTCCTCCCCAAGGGTTTACTTCCATGTTTTACTGGACACATGCTCCTTTTCCCCTCTTGCCTCTTTTTGCCTCTGTTTTCTCATAGGGATCTGTTGGGGGAAGGGAGAATAGTACAAGGTGGCTTTGCCACCGTGTCTTTTGAGAACTTGTTCCCTACCTTTACCATTAATGGTGACCAAAAATCTGCAATGCTAGTCTCCCTGGAGTCTTTGCTTTTACAGGGTTTGCACTGGAAGGAGTGGGCTGTTAATAGTGTGATGACTATAGGGCTCAGGATGCTTTTATGGCTCGATATTTATTGTTGTCTTACAATCTTTATGTGAGCCCATGCCAATTAGAATTCCTGTTCTTCCTCAAGATGCTTAACATTAATATTTGAGAAATTTTTAGAGATCTGCTTTCTTTTTAGCCTTCCTGTAATGGCTTTTCTGCCTCTGTAGTTATCAGTGTTGCTATGAGCAACACATTCTAGCTTCATTTTCTTATTCAGTGTTCACTTTGATATATGCTACTTTCTGGAAGGATGGGTTTCAAGTGGTTCCTCTCCTCTATCCCAATTCTGAATCTAGCTGGCAAGTAGAAAACAATGCATATAATAAGTGGTAACTGTGGAAGTATTTCCACAAGGTTTTAACAGGTTACAGTATGAAGCCCTCCAAATGAAATTAAATTAGCTTACATATATGTACAAAAATCAAATTAAAATGGTTTAAAGACTTTAAGTGAGGCTAGACACAATAATTTTTCAGAGGAAAACACAGAGTTGTGGCAACAAGCTTTTGGATTTGACACCAAAAGCACAGGGAACAACAACAACAACAAAATACAAAAGTGGGACTGTATCTAACTAAAAAGCTTATGCTCAACAGAGGAAATAGCAAAATTACAGTAAATCTCTTATACAGGATAAAATATTTGAAGAATGTATATCTGATAAGAAGTTAATATTTAAGATATATAAGTAACTCATACAACTCATAACAAATAATATGAAATGGATAGCGGAACTGCACAGACATTTTTCAAAAGAAGACAAACAAATGGCCAACAGGTACATGAAAAGAAATTCATTGTCACTAATCTGAAGGGAAATGCAAATTAAAACTACAAATGAATATCATCTCACTTTTATTAAAATGACTACTATCAAAAAGACAGAAATAAATGTTGCTGAGTATGTAGGTGAATATATATATATATTATACACACATGCATATAT